CAAGTGATTTTACCCTCGTCTGCATTGGTGTGAATGTGTTTCCACAGTGCATGACTTCATATGGTTATTTTACCCACTCTGCGCTGGTGTGAATGTATTTCCACAGCGTATAATCAGTATAGTGATTTTACCCGCTCTGCACTATTGTGAATGTGTTTCCATAGTGTATGACTATTTTATAGCTCTAGGCGCGTACGACTAGAATTACAGAATTTCAGAATTCCAGAATTTCAGAATTGAATAACCTTGCTATGTATATCGAGATTAATCGATTCACGAGTATGGTTATTCCGGGTACATTTTTGGTGTGATGTTTCAGTATCACATAGCTTATCAGATTTTAGAAATGCAGTATACAGAATAAAGATGTTTATGATTACAGTATATTTTAGTTTTGATTATATCATCAGATTTTAAGCTACAGAACTCAGCCTATTCAGTTTAAAGAATAAATATTTAGTTTATATGTATGTGAAAAGAAATTTTATGCTATATGTTGATTTTCAGAAAGATTTTATGAATGGAAAATTATATTTTTGCAAATATCCACTCATTGAGTTATAGACTCACATTTTTATCATTATTTCTCTTATCAGATAGTAGCTGAGTTGGGCATTACTAGGCCAGTTGATCTATCAAGTTGAGCCATAAATTGTCAAGCATTGTATAAATTGTCTTTTCAGTTTAAGAGTTCATATTTTGGGATAGACACCTCTTTTGGTCATAAATTAGTTCCATGTGTTGGACTTGCTATGTTTTGTATATCTATTATGCATTTTGAGTACTGTGGTTTAGAAATTGTTACAAAAGTCGAATTGCCAGTGTTGTATTTGAATAGTTGATATTTTGAGGGGCTGGTGTACCCTATTTCAAATGATATGTACATGTTTGGGATATTTGATTTTATTTTCAGGTAGTTTTAGTCCATTTTTCAGAGGGAACTCTGCCGAAATCTTTATAAAATTTTAACAGTCAAAGTATGTCAAATTTGCCTTGGTGGTGGGTCCGGTACTTTGCTGGTATCTACCATCGGCGCACGACACGTGTCGGATCCATTAGAGTGATCGGGACGGGTCATGTCAAAAACCATAAAAAAACTCCGACATCTAAAAACTTCATATTTTCCCAGTTTGCATAGATTGCCATTTGTCGCTGCTACAACAGCGACTCTATAGTAGCAAAGAAGTGTGTGTTGTAAAGTGCCACTGAGCGAAGTAGCACCGCCGCGAAGCAACACCGCTGGGCGAATTGTTGTGCGTAGCGACTTTGTCTGAAATGAGGTAGCGTCGATTGCCCGACGATGTGCTTGAGATGGAGCATCAACTGTTGCCCCCTCCGACATCACAGAGGAAAACTGTGATAAAGAGAGATAATAAAGAGGTAGAGAGACAAGGAAGAAGATAGAGAGAAAATAGAAAAGGAAAGTAATTAGGATTTTTGGGGTTGGAGTGGGCATGTTAATTTAATTTTAAAATATTATTTTAAATATTAAAATTTTGAAGTATTACCTGATTTGTGAAATTAAAATTATACCACCTCATTTTTGAATTATATAGTTTACATGTAAGTTATGGAGTAATTTTTTCATTTATTATTATTATTATTATTATTATTATTATTATTATTATTATTTATTTTTATTTTCATTTTCATATTTATTTTTTACCCAATTTAAAAGATTTTTCAGTCCAACTATGGCTCCGCCATGATCCTGGTTTCTTAGTTTATGTTGGATACTCAAGAGTACCTCAAAACCATATATCTAGGATGCTGAGTTGAGTAAAATTATATATAAATAAGGAGATAGAATGCCAACAGAATTAATCAATTATTTCATTTTTAGCTACGTATTTGTAGATTAAAATATTGAAATACTGTTTTCTTTTTCCCATCTAACGCAAAGATAGTGGCTCCACCACACGTGTTTCGATACATGTATATTTTCCAATGTTGTCAAAGTCGACCTGGCCTAACCCATTCGACTAGTAGAACTAGGAATCGAACTCAAATCGAACCAATCACGCTCAGTTAATCGATTATAATAAAAACCATTCAAAACCTGTTGACTCGACCAATTTACCTGTAAATCGATGAACTGATGGAGATTTTATAATTTTGTGAGTTTTAATTTAAAAAATTTTAACTTCATGAATGGGCCTAATGTACTACAATGGAAGGCTCTAATATTGGATGGCATAGTCCTTTTATAGATACACTTTTTTCAAATGGTTTTATAAACTTTCAATGAGGGATAATGCCTTTAATAGATGCCATTCTCTCAAATAGCTTCATAAACTTTTAACGTGAGATAGTGGTATAGCAAAAATATGTTAAAATGTCCATCAAAATTATTTTTCAAATGTATATCTAATTGACTAATTTGATTTTGAATTCCAACCAACTAAATTGTAATATCCATCTCCATTTTTTTATTTAATGAAGTTTTAAATTTAACTTAAATTAAGCTTGATTATTAACATAATAATGCTAGATATTATTTTTTATGGGTTTAAACTATTTCAGTTTAACAAAGCAAACTATTTTAACATATTAATTTTTAATTTTTAAAGTATCGAGACTAATTGTAAGATAATGACCTAATTAACAAAGATAGATTTACTTTGAATTATTAATTAAAAAAATTATTGTTTTCATAACATTTTATTGTTTGTGTGCGTATTTATTTATTTATTTATTGCATCTCGTTTGGTCTCGGTTCGACTCTGATTGAACCTTTTGATCTTTCACTTTTTTGGATCGATGCACGGGTTGATTTTCAAACATTGATATTTTCTCCAAGGTAGGCAAATAAAGAATAACTTTCACATATCCTTAATTCACACCTACTAAATTCACAAAAGCTGATAATTTGTATCGTTTTCTACAAATCATATCCAAGTTAGTAGGATAAAAAAAATTAAAACAAAACGTCATTATCTTTCAATATTATTATGTAAAACGTCATTATCTTTCAATAATTTATACTTGAAGAAATGAATGCACAAAACGTCATTATCTTTCAATATTATTATGCAAAATGTCCATACATTTCATTTTTTGACATTTTTATCTTTACCTTCATCTTTTAATGCAAAAATCATCATTTTCGTCAAAATTTTCGTATAAAATTACAAACATATCCTCTATTTAAATAAAACAATAAAAAAGAAAAGAAAAGTTAAAGAATAAATTGTAATCATACTCCCAAACTTGTTAAAAAGTGCAGATGAGTCCAAATAAATTATTAAAAGGGTAATTAGCACAAATTGTCCATACCTTTCATTATTATTGTGCAAAGCGTTCTCACCTTTCATTTTTTGACGTTTTCACTCTTATTTCATATTTTATTGTGAAAATCGTTATTTTCATCCATTTTCTCAATTAAAAGCTATAAAATGACAACTATACTCTCCTCTATAAATAAACAAAAATAAATAAAAGAAAAATAAAAAAAATTGTAATTATGTTTCCAAAATTTTCAAAAAAGTACAAATAAATTTCAAATAAATAATTAAAAAGAAAGTGATTTTTATTTTTTAATTATTTATTTGTAATTTTTTTGAAAAATTTAGGAGTATATTTGTATTTTTTCTTTATTTTTGTTTATTCAAAGATGATGGTATATTTGTCATTTTACAGCTTTTAATTGATAGAATGTATGAAAATAATGATTTTTGTAATGAAATATAAAAATAAGGGCGAAAATGTAAAAAAATTAAATGTATAAACGTTTTGCACAATAATAATGAAATGTAGGAACGTTTTGTGTTAATTATCCTTTTGTAATTTATTTGAACTCATTTGCATTTTTAAAAAATTTTGGCAGTATGGTTTCAATTGATTCTTTAATTTTTCTTTTCTTTTTTATTGTTTTATTTAAATAGGGGGTATATTTGTCATTTTATGATGAAAATGATAATTTCTGCAATACAAGGTGAAGGTAACGGTAAAAGTGCCAAAAAATGAAATGTAAGGACGTTTTGCACAATAACATTGAAAGGTAACGTCATTTTGTACTAATTATCATTTGGAAAAAAAATATTTTTAAATAGTGATTTGATATCATTTCAACTACACATTTTTTAATAAAATAATATTTATTGGAAATTCAAATTTTTATTTTTATTTTTTAACTACACATTCTTTATCAATCTATTTTTTCAAAATACATTATTCAAAAATAATATGTCTTATAAGTTAATACTTGTACGCCTTTTCAATTGAAAACTCGAAAGTCAAAAGCGAAAAGGGACAAAAATGAGAGTGCAGACTTTTTTTATTTTTTATTTTTGAGTAAAATATAGACTAATGATATGCTGACAAAATTCAATCAAAGCTTGTGGTAACGGCGTTATAAAGTCAATAAATGAATAACCCGAAAATCTACACCAAAATATACGGTCTACACTACAGAGCCGTGAGACGCAAGTAACAACGTATTTTTGTTGCTGACAAATATAGAATTACTCGGGAAGAGAGAGAATCAATTACTGTCCAAGCTAGAGTCTAGAGAGAGAGCGGATTCCGCACTCAATGCCCATCCAAAGTGTACTCGCTACGTTTCTTCCCCGATCAATCATTTCACCTTTTCCCTATAAATTCCTTCCAATTTTGCTCATTTTCTATCAATTGCAAGTCTCAATTCTTGAGCTCAACTCACTATTCTACAAGAAACTCATTTTCAAATGGCAGAAGAGTTTCAAGAATCTGAAGTCATTTTTCAAGAAAATGTCGAAAATGAAGCAGACGATGACTGCAATTTTCCAGTTCATTTGAATTCCCGGGAATTCCCAAGAAATATCAAGGGAAAGAGAAAGAAGTTGAAGAAGAAGAGGGATTCATTTCCGTTGAATATCCCGGAGAATGTGTCTGGGAATTCATGGTTAAGGTATGTGGATTCGGATTTTTTCGATGATGATATTGGTGATGACGGAGAAATGGTCCCACCCCACGTCATCATCGGAAGGCGTCTTGCCGGAAAAATGATGGAGTTTTCCTGCAGACTTAAAGGAAGGAATTTGATGGAAGTCCGGGATTCAATTCTCAGGATGACAGGATTTCTTGAAACATGACTTCTGGGAAAAGCCAGGAATAATATACAACTGAAGAAAATGATATATATTTCAGCCATTTTTTGTGGGTTTAATCATCATCCTTTGAGAGTTGTTTTAGAATCTTCAGAATGTAAAGTAATTCACCGTAGCAGAACTGAAAATTCATTTTCTGCAAAGAGAAGGAAATTTAAAAAAATAAAATAAATAATTTTCTCATTTTACATAGCTTAAGAAGATCCACTGTGTTCTATCAGTTTTATGTTTATAAATATTTCCTCAAGATTTTGTCTGCTTTCGACAATTTCCAACATCTACAGCTGGTTTATTCAATGATATATTTTTGCCATATAAAATGTATATAAATATATGACGACATGTCATATATGTGAAAATGTCATATTTGTACGCATACAAAAATGTAACCGGATACAAAAAAAGAAAGAAAAGCACAAGAAAATATTATTTGAATTTCTATTTTCAATAAGTATAAAGTTTATAAAATAGTTGTCATCAATTAATTAAAGACAATTTGTATAGATAAATCATCTTTTTTTTTTTTTTTTCCTTTTAGTGAAATGAAAAATTAATGTATTTTCTTGTCGGGTGCTTATACGGCACATGTGAAAACGTAAATTTAATATGACTCTACCTTATGATATCGAATAATTGATTGACTTGTAATTTCAGTCACGACATTAACAAGTATAAAAAAATGAAAAGAAAAAAATTTATAGCTGATTAGCTAGGTTATAAAATAGGGAGTGAAGGTTTCTACAATATTTTAATTCGTTCCATGTGATTATGCCATTAAAATAGGGTAAATAAACACTCAATGAGAACGAAGATTACTTAGGTGGCAGAGTTAATTAATTAATATACTCATTATGATTAAAAAAAATTATATTTTGATTTGGATCTCTAATCCTCATCGATTACAGAGTTGAGATACTTACTGATGATTATTGCATAGGCAAAATAAATTTCGATCCCGCTTTCTCGTTTGTATGATGAAAAAAAATAATTCAATGGTGAAAAGATTCCCAATCAGCGCCCCTCTTATTCGTATCCTTTGTAGCTACGTCAATTTTGTCGTTTTGTTCTCATAAGATAATATTAATACGCAACAAAATGTTGCCTGCGTAGAAGTTTAATTCAATCACATTTGAGTCTAATGTTCGTGTGAAACTCGTAAGCGTACGGGATCGTTGTACAAGTAATAAAATTTGTGAGTTAAGAGTATCGTTTCCACGAGGAATAAGGTCTAATATTTAGTTAAGTGGTTTTTACTAAATTCGAAGTAATATAAAATCAAAAAAATTGTGATTTGTATGTTTTCTATGCTAATCTTAAACTAAGAAAATAAATAAAATATTTATTTAATATATGAATATTTGTATTGGAATCGTGAATCCCCCTATTGCCATTTAATTCAACTTTTAATTTATAATCTAGTACATTCATGCATTCAAGACAATCGATAATCCACTTTTATTCAATATTCTTTCTCAAGATATATTAAACCTATGTTTAACACGATCCGTTCCTATTCCTAATCCAAATTCATATGAAAAATATGAATAATTCACAGGATTTATCACACATGATTGTACATGTCATAAATATTATTCTTAACACCTATTGTCCATATGTTGATTTTACCGCATTCTAGACTTATTGTGAGTATTCCTACACTATAACAAGCAACTTATTATCTAATTGGTGATCAAACAATTAAATAGTTCAATGGGAATGCAAAACCAATCAAGAACAAATCATGAAATACTAAATTAATTGTCTTGAATTAAAATAAATAAACGATAGGGATTCATCATTCATCCAATACAATGAAAAACTAGCCTAGCATATTAATATATAAATTACAAGAAGAATAATAGAAAAATATCACCCGGATCATGAAAGAATACAAAAGATGTTGATCTTCATGTCCAAAGTTGAATTCTTCAAAACTTGATGTAATTGAACTTCAATTCCTTACTATGGCTTGATCTTCTCTTTCAAAATATAGTAATTGGCATCTTGTTCTTGATGGATTTGATGAAACTATTGTGTATGAAGAGGCAAGAGAGAGACCCTTTCATTGCTGCCCATATCTTGTATTTATTTGATGAAATTAGGTCAAAATTCACGTCCAAATTGTCTTCCAAAAGAGCTTGAATCAAATAAGGAAAGTTGCCTTCGCGCGCACATAATTTTGTCTCTGCACAGCTTTCAGCATTTTAATCATAATTTTCTCTATTGGTGTCCGATTCAGGTGATTCAAAGTGCATTGGAAAGTTAATTAAAAGATCTACAATTCTTCTAGAAATGCAATTTTTTCAATTCAAACGTTCTCCATCCAAAAAATGTGTCTCAAATTGACCAAAAATCTTGAAGATATCCTATATGATTGGAAGTCGATTTATGGTAATATTCTAATCATATCCCTTTCCTTTTTGACTCCAATTTGCATTCAATTGACTCCTATCAATCTTCAAAATATCTCTTGTGGTCCAAATCAATCATTAAATATTTACACTTTGGTCCCCATACTTTGGATTTGCTTCATTTAGACATTTTTCGTTCTTTTTTCCAATTATTCTTTGAAACATGAACTTTTCCTAATAAAAGCAATAAATAACAAATCAGGTATTAATTCATTCAAAGAATAACAAAATATCATCATTTAAGATCCAAAATAAGTGTAGAAACTGCACTTATCAAATCCCCAAACTTGAATCTTTGTTTGTCTTCGAACAAAACTAAAATCCAGCAAACACACAGTGCTAATTACCTAATTGGTGGCCAGTCAATCAAGCAATGTAAAAGGATTTAGCTAGCTAATCCAATTTTTTTATCTCAGGATTGAAATCATAAAATCAAATCTATGCACAGCTTCAAAATCACAATACAGAAGTTAAAATTTACTTTTCCAAATGTAAAATTGACACGTGTGTGTGTGTGTGTGTGTGTGGAGAATTAAGCATAGCATCATGAATTCACAAGTAGTTTCAATTCCCGGTCCTCAATGGACAAATATGACCTTTCATTACTCGTAAGACTCACATACCCCCAAACTTATTCTTTTCGTTATTTTCAAGTATGTGACAAAGGTTGAATTTTTATACTATCCTCACCTCTCTAGTTTAGGTAAATCTCACTAATTGCAAGTCGATATATCAATAAATAAAGATTCTCCATAGTTCGATTGCTTCAATCTCCAAAACTCAACCAGACTAATAATCCTTAAACAAAAGTCAATTTTCTTAAACGGGTGTTTGAGACTTAATCAAGGCATCCAGTGCGTATTCTGTTTCATGCACCAATTTTTTCTCTGTTTTTTTTTTCAATTTTTATTTCAACATTTTTTTTATTGCAACATTCTCTCCCTTAAACTTTCTAAATGACCCATTTAGCGAGATTTAGGCCAATGACTCCTAAGTCAGTTGACTTTAGGGCACCAGGTTTTAACACCTTTACAGGCTTAATAACTCGAGTTATAAAGGCTACGAAGAGAAATTTTCCAATAAAATATTTTATTTTTTTATATCTTGATTAGTGCAATATCCCTTATTAAACACCCATCCAAGTAAATCAACTTCTAACTTGAGACTTTTACCCAATTTCATCCTATTGACCTTAGGCAATCCACACAAGATTTTTTTTTTTATTTTCTTATTTTTTAGTTTCACACATGAAATCCCCATTTATCTCAAAATCTTCTTACAACAGTAAAATCCTCCAAACTATTCTAAATTTGGTCTAAGGATGTAAAATATAGTCATTTTGCGTTTAGCATCTATGATCCACTATTTTAACCTTTCCAATTATGAAATTAACTCATTCTTACACAATGCTTAACTTAGTTCATGTGCTCAATATATATCAACTTCCCATGGAAAAACAAAAATTAACTTAAGTATGCAACCTATTCACCATTCATAGATCAATTCATAATTTAATATATACATTATTACTAGTCAGGTTAACTAACTCACACAAGCACACAAAAAGAAAATATTTTTGAAAATTTTCAATTTTTTTTCTTTTTTTCTTTTTGTATTTTTAATATTTAAAACAATAAAACATACACAAAACAAATGAAAACTCATGTTTTTCACCTTCAAACTTAAATTAGACATTGTCCTCAATGTCTTATATCCTATGTCCGCATATAAGGGGTGGGAGAAAAAATGAAGAAAAGACTCCCCTGATATGGCAATGAAATTCAATGGCTAGCTTCTCCTTGTCTCCCATTGCATCCTTGGTAATGGTTGGTTCAAGTGTTTCACAACGTCATGTTCCTGCACAATGCGGATAAATAAATCATTAAGACACAAAAGACCCGAAACAAGTGTTACTTGGCTCGAACATCAATACACCAACAAGTAACCTAAGGAAAAATGGGATATGGATGATAATTCCCTAATTAAAACCATAAAAATAAACTAAACTATCCTATAAGTAGAAAACAAAATAAATAAAAGGGATAGAAAGATTGGGTTGCCTCCCAACAAGCGCTTATTTATAGTCTTTAGCTTGACTTTATTGTTTCGGCATCATGGAATTTTGAAGAACGCTTTTGATACTTTGCTTAGTTTGCCCCTTTTGATTTTGCTCCACTCTTCATTACTTCTACAAATTTTAGCATTGTCCCTTCCAATGTTATATGACTTGCCTATCTCATCTGATTCAAGTTCAACTATGTAGACTTTTTCCTCCTCTTCGAGTTTAATTACAAATTCAATGATAGGGCAATCAATAAAGTCGACAGAGTGTGAGTTAACGTCTTCTTCATTAATTACCTCCCCTTCATTTTGTTCATTTGTAATTGAACTTTTATCATCTTCGTTCTTGTCTTACATAATTGATATATCCTCGGGTTGAATGGCTGGTTCACAATCTACATCTACGGGCAATGGAAACTCTTTTCTTTCAAACTTCTCGAGTGGATTATACCCCGCCTTTTAAATTCGATCCAAAATATGTCATCTCCCACGCACATTTTATTTTCATCTAAC